GTGTGTGTGAGTGTGTGTGTATGTGTGTGTGAGTGTGTGTGTATGTGCCCAAGTGTGTGTGCCTGTGAAGGACGTTAGGAGGCCTACTCCATCACTCTCTATCTTATTACTCTGACACAGTATTTTTCAGCAAACCTGGAGATTGACATTTTGGCTAGATTGACTGATCGGCAAGCCCCAGTGACCCTCCTGTCTGTGACCCATCACCAGCAGTGCTGGGGTTGTTGGCTTTGCATATTGCTATGGGACAGCGGTCTGTACCCTGTCACTTGTATTTTAATAAAACGCCGATTAGCCAGTAGCCAGGCAGGAAGTAGAGGCAGAGCAACCAGGCAGGAAGTAGAGGTGGGGCAACGAGAACAGGAGAAATCTGGGAAGAGGAAAGACACAGTCTGTAGGAAGTCAGACACAGAGCAAGCATTTAATTGAGGTTTGGTTAGAATTTCAGAGGGTGAGTCCATGGTCATCATAGAAGGAAGCATGGCAGCAGCAGGTAGGCATGGAGCTGGGGCAGGAGCTGAAAGCTCACTTCTTATCTAGAGAGCTCTAGACTGGGCCTGGCAGGGGCTTTTGAAACTCGCAGCCTGCCCGCCCCCAGTGACGCACCTTCTCTACCAAGGCCACACCTCCTAACCTTTCCTAACCAGTCCACCAACTGGGAACCAAACATTGAAATATATGAGCCTGTTGAGAGCCGTTCTCATTCAAACCGGCACATAACCAATCCCTCATCCATCTTAGTCACTCAGAAACATTTGAGTGCTCCTCTGAGTGGGGCTTCCATCTTAGTCACTCAGAAACATTTGAGTGCTCCTCTGAGTGGGGCTCTGTGCTCAGTTCAGTTCGCCAGTATTTTATTTAGTATTTTTGCATCAATGTTCATGAGTGAGATTGGTCAGTAATTTTTTCTTAGTAATGTCTTTGTGTGGTTTGGGCATCAGGGTAAGTGTAGCCTCATTGAAAAGTTTGTCAATGTTCCTCTGTTTCTATTGTGTGGAACAATTTGAGGAGTATTGGTATTAGTTCTTCTTTGAAAATCCTGTAGAACTCTGAGCTGAAACCATCTGGCCCTGGGCTTTTCTTGGTTGGGAGATTTTGGTGACTCTTCTATTTCTTTAGAAGTTATAGGTATGTTTAGTTTGCTTACCTGGTCCTGATTTAATTTTGGTAAGTGATATTAATCCAGAAAATTATCCATTTCTTTAAGTTTTCCAATTTTGTGGAGTATAGGTTTTCGAAATATGGATTTCCTCCATGTCTGTTGTTATGTCCCCCTTTTCATTTCTGATTTTGTTAATTTGGATATTCTCCCCCTACGTTTTGTAGTTTGGATAAAAGTTTGTCTATTTTGTTGATTTTCTTGAAAAACCAACTCTTTGTTTCATTGATTCTTTGTATTGCTTTCTTTGTTTCTATTTTGTTGATTTCAGTTCTCAATTTGATTATTTCCTGCCATCAAGTTCTCTTAGGTGAATTTGCTTCTTTTTGTTCCAAAGTTTTCAAATGTTCTGTTAATTCACTAGTGTGGGATTTTTCCAGCTTCTTTATGTAGGCGTTTAGTGCTATGAGCTTGCTCTTAACACTGCTTTCATTGTGTCCCATAAATTTAGGTATGTTGTGTGGTCATTTTGATTGAATTTTAGGAAGTCTTTAATTTCCCCCTTTATTTCTTCCTTGACCCATTGATGATTCAAGTGAGCATTGTTTAATTTCCATGTGTTTGTGGGTTTTCTGGAATTGGTATTGTTGTTGACTTCTAGTTTTAAAGCATGGTGATCTGATAAGGTACATTGGGTTATTCCAATTTTTTTGTATTTGTTGAGAGTGCCCTTGTATTTGGGACATAGATGTTCAGTATTGAGATTTCCTCTTGAAGGACTAATCTGAAATATCTTTTTTTGTCTCTTTTGATTGATTTTAGTTTGAAGTCTATTTTGTTAAATATTAGGCTAGCTACACCAGCTGTTTCTTAGGTCCATTTGATTGGAAAATTTTTTCCCAACCCTTTACTCTGAAGCAATGTCTGTCTTTAAGATTGAGATGTGTTTCTTGTATGCAGCAGAAGGATGGATTCTGGTTTTGTATCCAGTCTGTTAGCCTGTGTCTTTTTGTTGTTGTTGTTGTTGTTGTTGTTTGTTTGTTTTGCTTTGTTTTTCAAGACAGTGTTTCTCTGTAGCTTTGGAGCCTGTCCTGGAACTAGCTCTTGCAGACCAGGCTAGCCTCAAACTCACAGAGATCTGCCTGCCTCTGCCTCCCGAGTGCTGGAATTAAAGGCATGAGCCACCGCTGCCCAGCTTAGCCTGTATCTTTTTATAGGTGAGTTGAGTTCATTTATATTAAGGGATATTAATAACCAGTGATTGCTAGCTCTTGTTATTTTAGTTTTCATTGTTGGTGATGTTATTTTGTGTGTTTTCTTCTTCTTTAGAATTTGCTGCCATGAGATCATCTATTTTCTGTGTTTTTGTGGATATAGCCAACTTCCTTGGGTTGAAATTTTCCTTCTAGTACTTTGTGTAGGGCTGGGTTTGTGACTAGGTATTGGTTAAATCTGGCTCTGTCATGGAATGTTGGGGATCCTTCCCCAACTAACTCGGTTATGGATGACTCTGGGTAGTGCAGCAGAAATCAGGACACAGGGAATGCAGAGTAGGAGATTCAACTACATACTTTATTGCAAAGCCAGTGCTCTTGTATTATACTCAAATCACAATCCAAGCTAGGTTCTCATAATACTTGGAAATACTTACATAAACTAATAACTTTGTTACAAATTATTTCAAGAGCTTTGTGCCTTTGTTAATCTAAACAAGAAGCCTATTGTTATGGGAATAACTTTTGCTGTAATATAATATGTAGAAACACTTCATCAGGAGACAAACCACAACCTAATTGTAGCCTTTGAACTACAGTGCACATCTGTGTACT